TCTTTGACAATCACAAGCGTTCGGCACAATGGTTGGATAAAAATGAAATAAAGACATCTGCAGTAGAATGTTTATAGCAGCACAATTCACAATTGCAAAGATGTGGAAACAACCCAAGTGTCCATCAGTACATGAGTGGATTAATAAAATGTGGTATATGTGTACCATGGAATTCTACTCAGCCACAAAAAACAATGGTGACTAGCACCTCTTGTATTATCCTGGATAGAAATTGAGCCCATTCTACTAAGTGAAGTATCATAAGAATGGAAAAACAAGCACCATAAGTACTCACCATCAAATTGATATTAAGTGACTTAACTGACCAACACTTAAGTGCACATATAGTAGTTACATTTATCAGGTGTTGGGCAGGTGGAGGGAGGATGGGGTGATGAGTATATTCACACCTAAGGGTGCGATGTGCACTGTCTGGGGGATGGACACACTTGAAGCTTTGACTCGGGTGGGGCAAGGGAAATATATGTAACCTAAATATTTGTGCCCTCATAATATGCTGAAATAAAAAAATTAAAATAAATAAAATACACACAAAAAAGATGCAATGCTGAAACATAGTACCAAATCAAATATTCATCAAAAAAACCTAATGGTATATCTTTCGTGGTCCAGTGCTGATATTATCTGCTACGGCTTCATGAAACCTGGTCAATCGTTTGTCTACTGCAACCAATTGGAGGAAATGATGAGGATGCTTGTGATTAAGCAGCCGAGATCGGTCAATAGAGACAGGCCAGTCCTGTTGCAAGGCAACGCTCGACTACATGTTGCTCAAACAATGCTGCTCAAACTACAGTGGCTGGACTTGGAAACTCTGTGTCATCCACTGTATTCACCAGACCTTGCACCACTGACCATCACTTCTTCCAGACTTTGGACCACTTCTTGCAAGGAAAAATATTCAATTCTCAACAAGCTGTGGAAAATGTCTTTTGCAATTTCATGGCCACTGGCTCTTGAGGCTTCTTCTCTGCTGGCAAAAACAAGCTACCGTGAAGATGGCAACACTGTGTCGATAGTTCAGGCACATACTTCGATTAATTGTTCAGCTTCTTGTTTGAGATATAATCAAATACATATTTAATTTCAAATCAGACATTTCATATTTAATGACCTAATACTTGCTTTAACTTCTTTGTCTTTTCCATTCATTGAGAATCCCTCAAGTCTTTCCTCCTTGCTGTTAATTTAATATTTAACATTATCTATTATATTTATTGTTCTTTCTAACATGTCATTAGACCCCAAATAGTATTGTTATGGTCTTCAGGGGTTTTTGTTTGTTTGTTTGTTTTTATCCTTTTTTTATCTTATTCTTTGGTTTTATTATTCTAGCTTTCAATTGCACAGTTTTATTGAATTTGCAATTTATAGGTGAAAGCACTTGGGTTCGTTGGGTTATATTTTTCTACAGACTGATTTCCTTGCCTGCTTTTGGGTGCGATTTTTATTGTTGTGGATCATTTATTCATCCCATCTCTTTTATTTAATCTCCTGTTTGAAGTTCTGTACAGAATTAACATGCCATTTCCTTTTATTTTATTCATGTTTAACTGGGTTATGTGTATTTTCCTCCTTTTCTCCCTTTGAACTACATTTTGAGGTCTATGCTTATTTTCACTCATTTTCTTGTGGTCTGCTTGTTTGAGTGTGGGAGAAAGAGAGAAGCCACTGGGGAGAAGTTTCACCCTCGCTGGGGAACTTGGGCCCATCTCCGTTTCCTGAAATCTTTTATTCATCTGTACCAGAGCGCTTTCCACCCAGTGGGTTTAGACTCTTCACTCCGTCTCAGACAGTGCTCTGCAAGACGGCGGCCTTCCTGGCTCTTCTTGGTCCTGTGGGGTTTGCTACTTACAAATGTATAGTATGTCAGGTGCTGTGATAAATACATTAGACAAGTTTTCATTCAATCTTCATGACAGCCCATTCAAGTAGGTACTATTATTATTCCATTTTTTAGATGAGAAAACTGAGGCTTACATGAGGTCTAGCCAGCTATTCTGCTCTATTGATCTATGCCTGCTACCCTGCCATACATACTGCTTAAGTTGTTATAGCTTATATAAATAAACATATTATTAAGACTATGTTATATTTTATATAAAATTTAATGTAACATATTAACACATTATAATATAATATTATACATAACATTGTATAATATACACTAATGTATTATAAATGTATAAATTGCTATATGTAGGGCAATCTTCTCCTTCCCGTTAGTTATGTTTTATGTCTATTTTTGTGTTTTGGGAATGAACTTTAGTATCATTGATCTGTCAAATCTTTTGCTATTTTTACTATAATTACATTAACTTGGGGAAAAATTTGACAGTCCACACTGAGCATTATAATCAAGGGCGTGACATGCCTCCCCATTTGCTCGATTAACTTTGTAGGTGTTATGTACTAATCTTGAAATTCCCAAGTATTTTACATTTGTTGCTCTGGTGAATATTATTAACATGTTACTCTTTCCTGCCTTGCTTTCTAATTGTTTTATTGCGAGCCCGTGGGAACATCAGCACAGCCACGCTGCACACAACGACATTTCGGTCGCCAACAGGCTGCAGGCACAGCGGGCCTCGTAAGATCATACTGGAGCTGAAAACTCCCCCGCCCAGCGGCGGCCAACACGGCGCCTCAGCGCTCGCGCCTGTGGCGGTGCCCGGCGTGGAAAAGCAGAGCGCGTGCAGCTATGTCCACCCACGGTGCCTGACGCTGTTGCCGGTTCATGTATTCACTATGCCACACATTTTGCCAGTGTTGGGAGCACGCCGCTGCTTTGAGAGCAGTTGGCTGTGAGCCAGCGTGCCGTGTCACGCCAGCAGCGCACGTCTGTTCACCGCGTCTCTTGCTGCGTCACTTCCTCTTGTGCTTGTTTAAGTATCATCACTAAACAAAGTTTTAAAAGTTTATGGCGTTAAAATGTTACAGCAAACTAAGATTAATTTACTAGGTAAGAAAGCTATTGTTTTAGTAAATGTGACGTAGCTAGGCGTGCAGAGTCTACAAGTGTGCAGGGGCGGGCAGCAAAGTGCTCGCCTTCACGCGCACTCACCACCCGCTCCTGACCCACCCGGAGCAACTGCCGGCCCTGCAGGGACGTTCCCTTCATGGCAAGGGCCCTATTCGGGTGTGCCATTTTCATATCTTTTATGTCATGATTTTATTTATTGCACCTCTTCTATGTTTAGATAGATCTGGATGCACAAACCGTACCACTGTGCCGCGGCTGCCCGGCGAATTCAGTGCAGTAACGCGCTGTCCGGGCGGCGCCTCGGAGCAGCCGCTGTGCCACGTGCCAGGTGCGAGGCGGGCTGCACCATCTGGGTGTGCGCAAGAACGTGCCATGGTGTTCCCACATCAGTGAAATCTCCTGTATGCATTCCTCAAATGTAGCCCCATCAGTAAGCGGTGAATGATTGCATATATTTTTTAATGAATAATAATTAATTGTTATTGTAATAATTATTCATTTGCCTCTTTTGAGTTTTTCAGGGGGATAATCCTATTATTTCTAATAATTTTGTCTCCTCCTTTTCAGTATGTACGATTTTTACTCCATTTTGGGGAGTCTGTCTGCGCTGAGTAGCTCTTCCAGAACAAGGTGAAGCTGCCCCGTGAGTCAGCATCCCCAGACTCAGCGACTTGCCGCAGGCCTCACCCAGCCACCCTCGTCACACTCGGGGCTGCCACAGGGCCAGCCAGGGGCCGACGGCCTACGCTGGGCTTCCCTGGCTCAGCTCCGGCTGCGGGTTGGATCCACCCAGGTGCTGACTTTAATTCACTCTTGACTTACTTTGTGTTTATCTTTGTAAGTGTCTTCTTGGCTTTCCGTTGTAAGTACTAATGGTTAAGCCGATTGAGTCCCTGTTATTTGGAAGTGTCTGGGCTGACGTTTGCCAAGGGACCACTAAACTTCCGTGAGCACCGCCCAGACGTCCCGCGTGGCCTCCAGCACACTCTGGCTGCCCTGCCCCAGGCTCGCTCCCGTCCTCTGCCGTGAGTAGTCACTGCCGCCTTCCCCTCCTCCGCGGCTGTGACCTCCAGCCCCGCGCCTCCCACGCTGCCACGTGCGCTGCAGCCACCAGGAATCTCGCCCACGTGCAGCTTCTTGGCCAGCAAGCCTGCGATTTTGCATTTTTCACACGCTCTCAGGTGATATTGACCCACAGACCCCACTTTGAGTAGCAAGGCTTAGACCACAGCGAAAGTACAATTTTTACTCTACTTTTGATAAATCATTAGGCATTTTTAATGGTGGTGTACAGGACACTCAAGGGAGAACCAGAACAGTACTGGGCGAGGCCCATATTTCGTTTCTGTCTCTGCTATTTACTGGTTCTGTGCTTTCAGCTTTAGTTTTCATGAACTGGGAAGCTGGGAAAATCAAATGTCAGAATGCATGTGGACCTACTTTGCATAAAGCATCTGAGTGAAAGGTGTCATTCCTCTCTGATTGTCATCAAAGCAGCAGCATCAGTAAGTAGCTTGAAAATTAGGATTAAAAGAGATAATTGATGTAAAATGCCTGCCACTATGCCTGGGTATGCATAGCAGTAGATGTTAGCTATTCTTATTTTTGTTCAGTTTGGTAAGATTCGGTAAGGAGAAAGCTGTGCTTTCCAGATGGGTCGTCTGGAGAGCTCGCCGCTTCATCCTCCTGTGTAGCCCCATTTGGTGTTGGGTATTGTGCAAATGTTGTTTAATGATGAAGCTATGATGAAAATTGGTAAAAAAAAAAAAAAGGAATAAAAAGTCTGATCACCAACCTAAAAACGTCCCTGTTTGCATCAATGTACTTTAAGTCGCAGGGAACAAAACCTTCAAATTCGATTTGCTTTAAGCAATGGGGAAATCTGTTAGGTCATTTAGCAAGAAGATCTGAGACAGGGCAGCTCTAAGGTTGGCTGATTCAACAGCTGGGCAGGTTTTTCATTTCTCCTGTTTTCCATTTTCGTTGCATGGGTGTGCTAACTCCCTCGTGAGCTGGAGGGCGTCAGCAGCTGCAAGCCTGGCATCCAGGTAAGACAATGCGGAGAGGGAGAGGCTTTTCCCGCACGTCCCTATTTCCAGCAGAGGAATTTGTTCCCAAAAGACTTGCCCTCTTATCTCACGGGCCAGGACTGGTTCACATGCCCCTTCCTAAGCTACCCCCACTGGCAAGGAGGATGGGGTTGCCGTGCTCACATGGGCTCTCCGTTCAGGAATAGTCCCGCTCTCGCTCGGGGAAGGATAGAGACCAGACAGTCTCTGCCAGGGCTCTGGAGCACTCAACAGTACAGGAGTTCTCAATATGAAGGTTGCTGGTGACTCTTTACAGTGGCAAAAGCCTTGGAGTTTTCCACCTAGGGGAGGGTTTCCTTTCTGCTGTAGCCATCTCAAATAGTTTTCCATCTTCTGTTTAAATTTTCAGTGATGGGGCTCGATTATTTTGAGGACCTTTGATTTCTCCTCCTCCTCATTGACCCTTCCCGGCACCCATAGCAGGCAGTGGAAGGAGGAGACGCCAGCATCTGGAGTAGGAAGCCTCGTAAAGAGGGTCCCCTGCGCACCTGCGGCGGGGCTCACCCCAGGCTCGTGCCAGGAGTTGCTGGGCGTGAGCACACTCGCTGTGAGTCGGCTGTGCCCGCCCTCCTCTGTCTCCTTGTCCAGCTCCTGTGACCCAAACCATTGCATGTGCTGGCCTCCCTTCCACCCTGCTTCCCCTGATGTTTTTCCACCTCTCCCCTAGTAACTATCACACCAACATTTCACCTTAACGTTATTGAAAATGTGCCACTTTAAAAGATTAGGCTCACCTTGCTTGTCAGTCCTGCCGGCAAATACCCCACCCTCCACAACCGCCAAAGGCCACTGTCCTCAGCTCTTTTAAATGAATGGAAAAACTTTAAGGTCTTTCAAGACCAGATTTAGGAGCCACTAAAAATATGACCCATTTACTCTGAACTCTGGGCGAATCAATTGACCCTCCGTAGGTCCTATGTCTACAGAGATTTACGCCCCGACCTTCCACCTGCTTCTAGAGAAGTTCACGTTTGTTCAGCAGCATTGGAAAATGCACACGACATTTATTTCCTGCTCTAACAGCCTTCTTGGAAGTTTCAGAAATAGTCTATTATCCATCCAAGGTGGAGGAGAAATAACAGTGGCATTAACCTCGCTGCAGTGTGAGCTAACCTTTTTAAATGGACGTCATTCAAAAAGGCAGCACTAAAAGCTGAGCCTCCTCCCGAAGGTAGATTTTTTCCATAGTTATCACCATCATTTAAGAAAATGTTGCAAAAAAGTTTTGTCATTTTAGGAAACCCCTGTTAAAGATGTTGTTTGTTTCTGTGCTTTTGAACCCTTCCTTTCTTGTTTTTTTGCATCACTGGTTCTCCACAGAGAACCGGGGCCTTGAAGAGCAAGGAGGACGGGGCCTCGAGGCGCTCTGCACGGTGCCCTTGGCCGGCTGGGGTTGTGGACGCGAGAGAGCACTGCGGACGCAGGCAGCCGGCGTGGCCGAGAGCTCACGGGCAGTCTGTGACGTGCGGGGGAGCCAGGGCTCCTCAGGGAATCGGTGGCAGGTCCCCACTGAGGCTCCGCAGAGAAGCTGGAGGTGCCCGTCTTCCCCGACAGTGTGAGCTGCCTTTCAGGCCCCCACAGTGCTGCCTTCTCCTCTAGGCAGGAGCTCCTCACCCCACTTCCTGACACGGAGAGCAGGAGCCTGGTGAAATGGCTTATTGGGGAGGGGCAGTTTGTCTTTCCAACAGACACTAAATCAGACCCTACGCTGAAACCTGAGTGCACACCCACATTCCCCGGGAGCTTGCTGAACGTGCAGACTGCAGAAGCTCGTCTCTAGACACTTTGATCTGGTAGGTTTGCACAGAGCTCTGAATCTGCATTTTCAATTTAAAGCACCACAGGTGAATCTTAGGCTCCTGCTTAGAAGAACCCATTTTGGACAAAACCACCCTAAGTCATAGACCTGAGAACCGGGGTCGGGATGAGAGCTCCTGCATGTAGGGTCTGTTGCACACACGAGCGCCAGTCCTCCGCATCCTCGCAAGGTGAGGGGCCCGGTTTACAGACGAGGAGAGTGAGGTGCCCAGAGGTTAGGTCATTTGCTCAAGTGGCTCCTTGCTGGCAGTGGCCTGCTCCCGGCTGTGAGCTCAAGGCTACCTGAGTCCACAGCCCTTGGGTCTGGGCCACGCCATCTCCCCAGCGATGCCTAGTGAGGCCCGAACTAGCTCTGAGCATACCGAGATGAATGAGATGGTCTTCCTTTTTAGGGCTCATTCTAGTGAGTTTTGAGGGCTGGTTTCTCTCCCTCTGCTTCCAGATGTAGAAGAGCAGTTTTCCCAGAGACAGGCAGGGGCAGGCCTAGGCAATAAGACCTCCTGGAGCCGTTTCTTCTGTCCCATGATGGCAAACGTAGTGTACGGGACAGGTTGGCTCACGAGCTGCTTTGTTAGCTGTGCGGGACCTCCGGGAACAGTGACGTCCAAAGAGGTTAGTTCATGAGAAATTTGGATGCTGCTCTACTCTGTCCCAAACCATGTGTCTAGGTTTTGAGGATGCTGAAAGTTCTCAGGGCATTCCTAACGCATGGTGTTGCGTGCGGGATTAAATACGATGGTTGACATGGAAGCTCTTTGAAATAGAAACACTGTACAAAGGAGTCGTGGTTGGTATATTATGCAAGCTCCTGCCAGATCTGCCTTATTGAAGCAGTGCTTTCAACCTCACAAGGACCACAATAGTGCTGAGTGTTCCTCAGGCCAGGACGCTGAGGATGCCGCCCACGTGTGTTTGCAACGGTCCTCACTGCCGCACCAAGGAGGGACAGGACACGCGTGCACAGTGATGGCGGGCGGCGGGCCCAAATCCTGCACCTCTGCATTTAAGCACCGTGTACTGTGCTGCCTTTTGCTCGTCCCTTGTAATACATTCATTCCTGCTACAGGTGGGATGCATTTGCAGAGATGCTGTAGTTCAGCCTCATCCCATCGTAGACACGGGCCCTGCACCATGCCCTGCACACAGCGACTGCCCCTCCTCGGCACCCCTTCTGCTCCGACTGGGACAGTCTCCCTCCCGCGGCACAGTCCTGGGGAGGCTGCCACAACAAGGTCAGCTTGTCCCACGACCGAACCGCTCTAACCATTAGATATTTCCTAAGAGTTCCGAGCCTAACGTTTCGCATTAACTTCCTGGCATGGAACAGAGAAGTTGAAAGAGGTTAGTTCATGAGAAATTTAGATGCTGTTCTACTCCATTCCAAACCGTGTGTTTAGACACAGACTACACCCATTGCCACTTTCACCTGGAACATCCTAGTGTGCTTGAAGAACACAACCCTGTCCTCTCCCCCTGCTCGGTGCCTGTCCCTTCTCCTTCCACCCCCACCACCCCCATTTCTAATCTCAACTCTCCTCATATAATGAGGTTTTTGAGACTTGGGCTGCACTTGGCAATGAGCTACACGGAGCAGGAGCATTGCTCTGTCCTCATTGAGCTTCCATTGTATTCGGCAAATGTTGACTCAAACGGTTATTTAATGTTAACTGTGATGAAAGGCAAGAAAGAAAGGGCCGCACAGGTTGGTGTGGGAGGCCGGGAGGCCGCGGAGGAGAGCCGAGTGCAGGGTGAGAACTCACTGGCTGAAGAGGAGCAGCAGTTTTGCGGGAAGAGGAGGTGGCACGCAGGAAGGAAGAAAACGCGAGTGTTTGAAGACGTGAGGAAAAGGCTCTGGGGTTTGGGGATGAGGCCCAGGAGAGGGAGGGTTTTATTGAGGCTGGTGAGGGGCCAGTTGGCCACGCTTAAAACTGTGGCTTTGATTTTTAGGGAATGTGTGAAAAAGATTTAAGTAGGGAAGCAACGTGATCAGATTGCGCTTTAGAGAGATGATCTTAGCTGCAGAGGTGAGGTGGAAGACCGTGTGAGCAATAATGAAGTGAGAGGCCTCTTTAATGGGGATTCCAGAATGCACCCATGTGGGAAATAAAAGCACCTTTGACTAGGGTGATGATGGTGACGTGTTCAGAAATGGGTGGATTTGAAATGTGTTTTAAGGTGTAAAATAGAAGAGGATGATTTATTAGAAGTAGAGGATGAGGGCAATACTACTGGCCCCAGTTTTGCACGAAGTTGCCCCTACTCTGGGCCTTATCGTTTAGACCAGTGTTTGGCAAACTCCAGCCCATGGGCCAAATTCAGCTCCTGTCCTGATATTTCTTTAAATAAAGTTTTATTGCAACACAGCTTTGCACATTCATTCTGTGGCTACTTTTTTGTTGCAATGGCAGAATTGAGAAGTTGTGACAGAGTCTGTGTGGTCCACAAAGCCTAAGATATTTACTATCTGGCCTTTTAGAGAAAAAGTTTGCCAATTCTTGTTTTAGGAGACCCCTCATACCACAAACGCTTACAATAAATGAAGTTATTAATGAACAAATGGGTCTTTCTGAGCCCAGGAAAATTGCTTGACCACAATCCTAAACACCCACTTTCACTTTCCAGACTGAGGCTGCCCGGGCCGCAGGAACCTGCTTCCCTCCACCCCTTCGTTCAGTTCCTATAAATGAAAGCGTGGAAACGCTCTGGAGACTTTTGGCTTTTGCCGTTGCCTGCACTGCTGCTTTCCAACGCAGAGAGGATCTGAGCAGAGAAAATGCCTCAGTAAAAGAAAAGATAAATTAATCGACTGTCAAAATCCCTGTCAAGTCTATAGCATGAACGAAATGAATTCTTCATTACAAAGTACAATCTCTCACACTCCGCATCCACCTTGTTTGCTTTGCTTTGCTCCAAGATCCACGTACGTTAGTGTTGTTTTGTGGTAGTTGTGCATGTGGCTGACTATACTCTATGACTCATATTACTCTGGTCTCATTCATTCATATTACGTGAGTGAAGTATGATACTGATTGTTTACACAAACATAAAAATCATGCATATGTATATGCAAGAGCTCCATTTATACTCTCACTCTGGGCCCTGAAGACTTTAGGGTGAACTTGGACCAGGGAAGGATGGAGGCTGTCTCTTGGGTTTCTGGTAAGATCACTTAAGCAGTGGAGGTGACAGTAGTAGTTTGGAACACATTGTTTTGCAGAGCTTTTGAGAACGCAGCTAGGAGATGCAGAGGAGGCATTTGGAAACACCTGCTCAGAGGGCAGGTCTGGGTGGGCTGAGGACACAGAGCCAGCAGTCACCGGCAGTTGAGCTTACAGACGTGGTCGAGAGCAACTGGAAAGAAAGATCGGGAAGAAAGGAGGACGTGAGGCCACTGTTGAGTGCAGGGAGGACCAGCCTGCTGTAAAGGCAGGGCAGAGATCTAGCTGGCACGGGAGGCCTAGAGGATGAGGAATCCTAAAAGCTGAAGCAGAGTGTCTGTAGAAGGAAGATTTGGTAATTGTGTCCACAGCCAAGGAATGGATTTAGCAACCTGGAAGTCATTACACTTCAGCGTGGTTCCTGTGAAGTTGGAGGTGGAAGCCACTCTCGTCAAGATGGCTTGAGAAATGCATGAGGCATGAGAAAGAGAGATAGTGAGTGTGGACAGCAAGTTCAAGGCTACTGAAGAGGATGAGGAAGTGGAGCAGTAGCTGGAGGAGGGAGGATATTTTTATTTTTAAAGATAAGAGGGACTTGACCACTTTTAAGTGCTGATGGGAAGGCCCCACCAAAGAGAGTGAGGTTGATGATAAAAGACAGACAAGAAATTACAGATACGTGCTAAGCTCAGATGATTCATTTGTTTGCAGCCTTGCTACACGGATGCATTCTGTTAAGTATCTGCTACTTCAAGGAAGCGTAAAAAACAGCAGGACCATTTTGCAGGGAGAGATGGCAGCCTCGCCACCGGCAGCCCCTGAGGAGGTCCTCACCCCCCTTCCCCCCTCCCTGGCCGCCTGCACGCATATGGTCCTCTGATTCAGTTGCAGACAGAAGAGGCTCTTATAATTTATCCTCAGAACATGAATTAAATTTAAAGTAGATTTCACTTTAGATCCACAGGCTGTAATGCTATCAGCCCGCTAGACAGAAAGAGTCTGTTGCTCCCTTGGTTTATTGTGAGATGAACAGCAGGACTGCATGTTTCCCAGACGAGTGTGTCCTGCGTAGATGTCCGGCATGCTCCCCATCACCGTTTTACCTGATTAAAAATGTCGCATGCCACAAAGAACAACATTTAGGACACAGGCGTCTCTGAGCAGCAGAGCTTTCAGAAAAGCTGTCAGTATAAAATGAAATTTAGAATCTTAGAAATGGCACCAAGCTGGGAAATTTACATAGGACCAGGAAGCAGGAAGAGCTGTCTGGAATAATTGAAAGTGCGGTAATAGCTTGAGTTGTCCTAGGGAGTAATGGCAGAAAATATAATAAACATGTTCCAAATCCAGGAGCTGTTATTTTCCTTCTATTTACTACCCAGAGATGGGGTCAACATCACAACTAAATATCTTTCTTAATATGCTTTTGTTGCCCCATGCGGTTTGGGGCAATTATTGTGCTAAGTGCTTTTTACACATTTCCTCATTTTACCTTCATAATCTTCAGAGGTCCTAGTGCTGTCTTCGCTGGAAGGAGGAGGACACAGCCTCGGGGGGAATTACCCGCCTGCATGTTTGTTATACGCACTTTGTGTAAGTGGCAGAGTTCGGATATAAACTCAGGCGGGATGACTCCGGAGCCCCCATGGTTGACTCTTTCATTCCTCTATGCAGGCATGAAGGTATTTTAGCTTCCGCCCTCAGGGAGCTTAAAATCTGATCAGCAGTATGTGACGTGTGGACTCAGCTTTTCCACAGACAGTTTGCTAAGCGTCGTAGGGATGCTTTGGAGTTTAGGAGAGTGAGGAGGACTCCTGGCGGCCCCGAGGGACAGGCCATCAAGGTTGTTCACCACGGACCCTGAGAGCTGAAGGACTGGGGGATTGTGATTGATTGAGGGGTGAAGGATGGCCAAGGTGGGAGGAATAGTAAGGGCAAAGGCAAGACTAGAGGCGATGTCTGGGGAGCAATGTGTGTGTGTGTGTGTGTGTGTGTGTGTGTGTGTGTGTGTGTGTGTGTGTCTAATAACACAGGAAACACTCCGTGGGGGCAGAGCATGCAGTATGACTATAGTCTCTCCATATATTATGGAAATAGTGTAAAGACTGAAGTTGAATTAGATAAAAACTCAACTGCAGTAGGAGAGCTACCAGCTTCTACCATCCAGGGGATAGATATTAAACCCAGATGATGTCACTAGAAAGTAAATCAATTACAAAAAACGGTTTGACTTTTCTCCTTTCGCTGTGCAATCAGTAATTAAGTTCTGCTCTTTCTTTGTTCAGCACAGTGACTTTCAACCCTGGCGGCATATTAGAAACCACCTGGGGGGATGTTAAACTCTCACTGCCCTGGTGGGACTCCAGACTGATTGAATCAGAGTCTCTGGAGTGGGAAACAAGCAGCAGTATTTTTTGAAGCTTCCTGGGTGATTCTCTTATGTTGGCTGAGCACTATGACTTTATCACATCCCTCACTTGCTAAGTGAACTAATTAATTAATCACTGCTATGGGAATGGCTGGGTGACTAAAACGATAGTTGTGCCAGTAACAGAAGATGGAAGGTCAGGAAGAAGAGCTGATTTGGGAAAAGACAAGGAGGCACATTTCTTGTTAAATATCTTGAAATTGGCAAATCCAAGTAGAGATTGGAAGCTCCTTAATTGTAGTATCATCTTCAGGCATTGTTTCCAGACATAGAAGGGGCAGAATAAATATTTGAACCTGGAAGCCCAGGAAGCATTTAGAGCTAACATTTCATAGGTTCGCGAGGGAAGTCAGTATTGCCAAGGTTCACATGTTTGAGTTTTCAGCATATAAGCAATAATGTGGGTTATATAGATTAAAAAAGAAGATAAAAGAGCTAAGGATGTAATATTGGGGAACATCAACATGAAGGGAAAAGGCAAAGAAGAAGGAAAAAGAACTAAGGAATGGAATAACCAATGGAGAAAAACAAAATAATGCAAAGCCGAGGTGGTGGAAAAGTATTCTAGAGAGTCAGGTACATAAAATAAGGCAGGAAGTTTATTTTTTTTTTAAGAAAGAGGAGATCAAGGAGACAACACCTGAAAGCTTTGATGCATGTGGCATAGAGCAAAGTGTAGCTTGTTAAATTACATAGTACTGCTCATTGCAAAAAAATTAACAAAAGTAATAAAAAATAAAAATCAATCACCCATAATCCCACCATTCAAAGATAAACACTTAATATTTGTGATTATTTTTCCAAATATATATATCTATATTTTTTGTAAAAAAGAGACATTATATATTGATATGTAATCTGTTTTTTCACGTAGCAATAGATGATGAATATCTTTCTATGTCAATGAATATACAAAAACAGAAATTTAAAATAGCTACAAGATACTCTGGTTGCAACAGAGCTGCTATAATTTATTTAACTAATTTCTTATTAGTAGTTTTAAACTTTTTGACATTTTAAACATTTTTGTTCATACATGGTTATGTGTCTGATTACGTCCTTAGGTTAAATTTCTAGGCATAAGATTCCTGGATTTGAAGATATGTACATGGTATAATCTTTGCCCTCCAGAAAGCTTGTACCAGCTCATACTATTACTAGCAAAATAAACAAGTGGTTACTTTAGCATAAGCTCAGGAATACTGGATGTATTTCTTCTTCATCTTCACCGACTCGTCAGGTAAAAATGGTAGTCCGACGGCACTTCATTTGCTTTTCCGTGATTACTAACCACCCCGGTGCTCCCTGCTTAGCGCGCTGTGGTCTTTTAGGAACCCTGCCCATTTGTTACCCAGACACTTCCCCTTCACGTGTGCACACCAGAGGGAGGCCTGCTGGCTGCCTCATCCCAGCATACCTCCCTGATTTAAAGGGCTTAAATTATGTCATCCCTCACTCTATATTCCCGGGGACATTTAAAAGGGAACGTATGGTGGAGAGCCGTCTCGGGGTGGGTTTGCCGAAGGAAGGTGCTGAGACAGAGTAAGGCCTCGAGGATGCTCCTGTGGTTTCCCCGCTGCCAAGGGAGACAGAGGAAGCAGGACTGTGAGAAAGAAAGGCGCGCGGTGAGGCCAGCTGGGCCAGGCTTTGCCTTCCTGGAGTCTGGAGTGGCCGCTGCCCAGCACGGCTGTCCCCGTGGAGCCAGAAGGTCCGGCCCTTCTCCTCCGGCCTCACTCCGTTAATGGATGGGTAGAGTTGTCAGATTTCGCAAATTAAAATATAGGATGCCCAGTTAAACTTAAATTATGGATAAACATTGAATACTTCTAAAATGCTTCTAATTTGGGACTTTGTACATGTCCCAAATATTACATGAGACTATTAAAAAAAAAAAAAGCTTTCCATTGTTTATCTGGAAGTCAAATTGAGAGCTTGTAATCTGGCAACCCCAGATGTCGCTGCCTGGGAAACGTCTGATCTTGGACAAGGCCACTCAGCAGAGGCTCTGGAGGAGCTGACAGCTGCAAGTGGCCTGCCGGCCGCGCCCGCGGCTTGGAGTGCGTGCCCCTCGATGAGAGATCTGGGTGGCGCGTTTGCACGTCCCAGTGAGGTAGACACGGATTCCAGTCCTGAGCTTGACTGGACGTCCTAAGAGAACAGCTTCAATGTGCTGGTGGCAGAAGAACCCGAGGTTAGAAGAAGTTGAGGAGTTTGTAGGTGGTACAACAGGGGAAGCTGTG